CTGGAGCTGGAGGAACACAACAGGCCAGGCAGCATCAGAGGAGCAGGAAATCTGATGTTTTGGATCGGGACCCTTCGTTTCTGAAGAAATCTGACTCCAACATTGGCAGTTCTTCCTATCTCTCACTATATGTCTGGAATGTCTTACCAGATCTTGCTGCATACCAAGTGACTGCCTAACAACCTGAACTGAGAATAGCACTAATCATATGTGACTGTTCCAGATTTTAACTGAAGGCTGGGGAAAATGAGAAAGAGACACCGAGAGAGACAGAGAGGGAAGTAGTGAGCACAACATTCCTTTGTGCTCAATACACTTTCAGCTAGAGAACAGTTTTCTTGATTCTCCTTGACCAAATTTTGCTCAGCTTTCTTGACACCACACTCTATCAAATGCGAACATTCGTGTTAAATGCAGTCATTTTTGACTTCAAGTTCAACTCTTTTGACATGTTTAGGCCAAACTTATAAGGAAGTCTAGAGCTAAATGGACTGGCAGAACCCAATCGGAGTATTTGTGAGTAGATCACTGACCAGTGAGTGCTACTGGAAAAGTCAGTATTTCTGTTATCGTCCTTCAGCACTCGGCAAACTCAGTACGTTGTGACATTACTAAGCCACTCTTGGTAATGAACATTGAGCTGTTCACAAAGATTAAATTATTTGACTTAATTACCTCTAGTGATTCATCCAAGTGCTTTTCAACATATGAGAGAAGTGATTCATCAGCTGAGGGAGGGTGGTCAGTGGTAATTAGCTGGTTGTTTCCTTTGTCATGTTTGATGCTATGAGATGCCTGCTTCTATTTTATGTAATCTTGCAGATCTAACATTGAGAACTTCACAGCTACCCCCTCTCTACTATCAATGATACTTTCCCCCAATTTGCTGATGCAGATTGTCTGCACAAATCACTAGAAATAGACTTGTCCTGTTTTTTGTGAATTGCACATACCTGGGCAATTGTCCATTTAGTCAGGTGATTCCAGTGTTTTGGCTATATTGGAACACTTTGGCTACACCACTTCTATCTCTGGAGCACATTCTTCAGCATACCAGATGTAATGCTGTTAGGGCCCATAGCAGAGTTACCAAATCACAGAAATGTTACAGCGCAGAAGTAGATATTTCGATTCATTGTGTCTGCAAATGAACACCATGACTCAGTTATTCTCCTGCATTTTCTCCATATCCTTGCATATTGTTTCCATTCGAATGATCATTCGCTGTTCTTCTGAATGCCTTAATTGAACCTGCCTCCATCACACTTCTAGGCAGACCCAAAGTACTCCTTGTGTGAAAAAGTTCTGCGTTATCTCACAGTTCCTCCTTTGGTAAATCACTTGAGATCTGTGCCTGCTCATTTTTGGTCCTTTTACAAGGGAACACTTTCTCCCTATCTACTCTATCTAGGCCTTTCATGATTTTGAAAATGATTCTATCAGATGAGTGTCCTGCAGTTGTTCTGTGCCTACGCTGCATTCAACCCACTCAGCTATTTCTTGGTATCACGTGAATGAATTGAATATTTTGCAATTGCGCTGGGGACCTCAAATGGATGTTGAGATGGATCATCCCAATTGCCACTTGGGCCAAAGATCATTCAAAGCACTTTAGCCTCATCTTTTACATTCATGTGCTGAGTTCTACTGTCGATGATGGGGATTGTTCATGCAGCTTCCTCATATTAATTGTTTAATTGCCTATCTAATTCATGACTGGATTGGGCAAGGCTGCAGATCACGAATCTAATCCAAAGGCTGTAGGCTTGTTGAGCTCTTTCCAGAGCATGCTGCTTCTACTGTTAGACTGTACGTAGCCCTGGGTTGTAGATTCACCAGCTGACACTTTTTTTTTGTACAGTTAGTGCTACTCCTGGGTATGCACTTCTACATAAGGTTGACCCCATATATTGATGATGGTATTTGAATAACAAGATAGGCTGAGGCATCAAGTTACAGATCCTGAGATAGTAGGAAGTGCAGATGCTGGAGAATCCGAGACAACAAGGTGCAGGGCTGGATGAACACAGCAGGCCAAGCAGCATCATAGGAGCAGAGAGGCTGACGTTTCGGGCCTAGACCCTTCATCAGAAAAGGGGGAGGGGAAGGGGGTTTTGAAATAAATAGGGAGAGAGTGGGAGGCGGATAGAAGAGGGATAGAGGAGAGGATAGGTGGAGAGGAAACAAACAGGTCGAAGAGGCGGGGATGTGGGAGACACAGTTGAGGGCGTTCTCGACCACCGAGGAGGGGAAGTTACGGTCCTTGAAAAACGAGGACAACTGAGATGTACGGGAGTGGAATGCCTCATCCTGGGAGCAGATGCGGCGGAGGCGAAGGAATTGGGAATAGGGGATAGCATTTTTGCGGGAAGGTGGGTGGGAGGAGGAGTATTCTAGGTAGCTGTGGGAGTCGGTGGGCTTGAAATGAATATCGGTTTCTAGGTGGTAGTAATCTGATCGTTTGTTTCATTGTAATTAGAATGTGCTTGCATGGCAAAATGCAGGTTGCCAGTCTTGGCTCAGTAGTTAGACTCTGCCTCTGCCTCTTATTCAGAAGACTATGAATTTCAGTGCCATTCCAGTGCTTGTGCACATAATCTAGGCAGCCACTGCAGTGAAGTACAGAGGCAGCTTTTGTATTGTCTTTCAAAGGCAATAGTAAACACAGTTTCAAATTTCCTTCTCTTGTGGATGTACGAGATCTCATGGCACTGCTTGAAGAAGAGATGGGGAATTCTCCAGTTGATCTGGTTACTATTTATTCTTCAACTAATTTCATAGAACTGTCTTTAACAAAGCTGTCTTTATGTGGACTAGTTGCCACATTTTCCCATAATTGTGACTGAGCTGCAAAGATATATGAAGCACTTTGAGAAATCCTGAGGTTGCATAACGTACTTCTCAAAAAGTACAAGCCTGGCCATTTCTCTTTGCTGGGATAGGAAGTTCCAACTTGAGTCTGCATATATAGTCTACTATTTACATATTGTTGAGCATATCCTTATTTTGTACAAACTATATTTTCATAATGATTAAGTGAATTGTTTTGTTTGGTTGTTTAGGTGCACCCGAACCCAGACCGATCACCTCATCTTCGACTAAAATTGTATGAATTTGCAGGAAAAATAGTTGGGAAGTGCTTGTATGAATCTGCTCAGGGTGGAGCTTACAAACAGCTAGTCTGTGCACGCTTTACTCGTTCATTCTTGGCACAAATTATTGGACTCCGGATGCACTATAAGGTAATGAGTGTTTATTAGTTAATGTGCACTTTGTGGCTTTTGAATACATTTGATATTTAATCAGATGTTACACTGTAACACTGAACGATCATTGGTCTGAAATTTGAACTCTGTTTTTCTCTCTCAGCAGACACTGTCCCTGACAGACTGAATATTTTCCAATGTTTACTGCTTTTATTTCATATTCATAGCATCCGTAGTATTTTGCATTTTGTTTCAGGTCAATCTGAAAATCATACTCAACTTGATGTAAAGGCATTTTCAATTTAGAAAATATTTATGAAAGTATGGATGCTGGCAATCTGAAATAAAAAGAAAACAGAAATTGCTGGAGAAACTCTCAGATTTGTCTGCATCTGGAGAAAAGGGATGCAGTTTCAAGTCCAGTGGCTCTTCTTCATTCCAACAAAGTCATGGGACTCAATGGTAATTCTGTTCTCTTCTCCACAGATGCTACCAGACCTGCTGCATTTCTCCAGCACTTTAAGCTCACAAAGATTTTGAGTTGTCCAACAGTGATTTGTTGTGAAGTGGTATAGTGCCTCATTTGGTTCCTTTCTTTTCATTTCTTCTCTTCATCCACCAGCACCAATGCCCATTCACTCTACAATCATCCCTCCTAAGTCCAACAAAACTCAGGCCTAAACAAACAAGGAAAACTACAGATGCTGGAAATCAAAAACAAAGTCAGCAATTGGTGGAAAAACTCAGCAGGTCTGGCAACATCTGTGAAGAGAAAATAGAGTTAACAGAGAACCGTTCTGAAGAAGGGTCACTGGGCCCGAAATGTTAACTCTGCTTTCTCTCCACGCTGCCAAAACTCAGACCTACGTGATGTTTGCCAGGCAGGCTTTTTCATTCTGACACTGCACTTGATTGGATTTCCTTTCTCTCAATTCTTTCTTCATGCTTAAATTGTTTTCAGATACCATTGAAACAAATAGTTGTCTCAAGGATGGAGCTACAGATTATTCAGGGACTGAGTGAAACATCAGATGAAAGCATTAGTGTAAAAAAGCTTTTTGTTAGTTATGCTGAAATGTAACCTTAAATTTCTGCTTAAATTGCTGAAGTCCATGAAACTTGAAAATATAATGGATGGTCTGTTGGAAACCTATCTGCGTTTTAATGGTAGGTTTCTTGCTCGTTACTTTATACTCTATATTTTATCTGACTTATCCATTACCTACTGGCTGGATGTTGGCACAGATTATAAATGTAGGGCACTGCTCACGCTAATAGGAGAGGAAACGAAATCAGAAATTTGCCCTTGTAATAGTGTCAGTGGCCCAGAAAGGGGTATGAAATAGCATTTTCACTGTTCATGTCTTTATTCCTTTCCCAAGTGCCAAAATGTTGCTTGTGTGATTACAGTTTATGAACCATCTCTGTCCTGTCCTCTCTGCTTGCAGTATTTTGCAACAGATGATCCAGAATTCTACAAGAGTAAAGTATGTTACATCTTGAAAAATGATGTGAGTGAAATGGACCTCGTTTTTGCTGAGGAAAAATACGACAAGTCGGGACATTTGGAGAAGGTAGTGTTCAAGAACTTCACTTGTTTAGATCTGAATAAAGTTTCATGTTATGCCATGTTGCTGACTAATGTTAACCATTTGGTGGCTAGAGATCAGGTGAGGAGGTAAAGCCCTTTCTTCTCATTGAGGATATTCTCCATCTTGTATACAGCACTACCACTAAGCAAAATTGGTCAGATATTGAACAGACCTAACTGACAGAATAAAAACCGAAAGAACTGCCACACCTCATGGCACCTTCCGTTGTAACCACAGAAGGTGTAACACCTGTACATTTACTTCCTCCCTCCTCAGTATCCAAAGGCTCAAACACACCTTCCAGGTGAAGCAGCACTTTACCTGCACTTCACACAATCTAGTCTACTGCATTTGCTGTCACAATGTGGCCTCCTCTACATTGGGGAAATGAAGCAGAGACTGGGTGACTGCTTTGCAGAACACTTGCATTCTGTTCGCAAAAAAGACCCTGAACTTCAGTTGCCTGTCACTTTAATACACCACCCTGTTTCCTGGCCAACATCTCTGTCTCTGGCTTGTTGCAGTGTTCCAGCAAAGCTCAGCACAAACTGGAAGAGCAACACCTCATATTCTGCTTGGGGACCTTACAGCCTTCTGGACTCAATATCGAGTTCAATAACTTTGGGCTTGAGCTCTCCCGTGTCTTTACCCCGACCCCACACACCGAGCGTTGAATTCACATAGTCTGCTGTTACACACCACCCATTGTTAGCCACGAACAGTCCCCATTAATAGCTATTCATCTTCCTAGCCAGATTGTTATTCTCTCCTTTGTCTGTCGAACCGCTCTTCTCTCTCTTTTGGATGCATCCCCACCTATCATTTACACCTCCCCCCCTCCCCCACCCTATCGTCTGCATGTAAACCAACATTTTCCTAGCTACCATCAGTACTGAGGAATGGTCACTTGACCTGAAACGTTAACTTTGATTTCTTTGCACAGATGCTGCCAGACCTGCTGAGCTTTTCCAGTAATTTCAATTTCTAACTGACAGAATGTTATGTCTTCTGAGGGGAATTGAAAGCATGAATAGGGAGGTTGTGCTTCAGTTATACAAGGCATTGGTGAGACTGCATATAGTGTATAGTACTGGTCACTGTACCATGTAAGGGATGTTAAAATGTAGGAAGCAGTTCTGAGAAGGTGTACTACACTAATATCTAGAAAAGCTAGACAGGCTAGACCTGTATCCTCTGGAGTTTAGAAGAGTCAGAGATAATTTAATTAAAATATATAAGATTCTAAGAAGCCTTCATCGGGTAGATATGGAAGGATCTAGAATTGGGGCCATAGTTTTAAAATAACAGGTCTCCAATTTAAAATAGAGATGAGGAAATTTTTTTTGTGTTGAGAGTTTTTGGAATTTCCTTCCTGAAAAGGTAATGGATGTAGAATCCTTTAAATATTTTAAGGCAGAGGCAGACAGATTTTTGAATACAGAAGAGGTATGCAGGAATGTAGAAAAGGGGTTAAAGTCAGGTCAGCCATGATCTTATTGAATAGTGGAACAGGCTTGAACAGCTGAGTAGCCCGGTTTCTGTTTCTTGTTCAAGTGCTAATAACCATTGTCTGCAGCCTCATAAGGTAGCATAATTCTTTCTTCACCACCACCAGCGCCAACCCCCCCTCCCCCAACCAATCATTACCATTAAACCCGGTTCAGTGAAGAGTGCAGGAGGTCATGCGACTGACAGCACCAAGTATACCTAAAAATGAGATGTCATCCTGGCGAAGCTGCCACATAATACTAAAAGCATGCCAAGCAGTGGAAAGCAGCGTGCTATAGATAGGGCTAAGCAATCCCTTGACCAACCAATCAGATGTAATCTCTGCAGTCCTGCCACGTCCAGTCATAAATGTTGGTAGACACTACAGGAGGTGGAGACTCCGTAAATATCTCCATCTTCAACAATAGGGGAGTCTAGCACGTAACCTCAAGAGAGAAGGCTGAAGTATTTGCATCCATCTTCAGAAAGAAATGACAAATACATGATCTATCACAACCACCACCAGCATTCTGTGTAATTTCCTTACCAGCTCTGTGAGCCTCCAAGTCCCACATGCAGCAGGACTTTCAGATCGGCTGACACGGTATGCTGTGTGAGATTATTGGAGCAGTTGCCTGCATGTGCAGCCACACAGCTAAGAAGAAGCATTGACTGCAGCATTAAAGATGTCAAGAAACAGCTGGTAATATGGGATATTGCAAAGGTTGTGGGCCGTGATAATATTCCAACAATAGTACTGAAGGTTTGTCCTCCAGAATTAGCTTCGTTCCTAGCCTACCTGGTCCAGGCCAAGTGCAGCAATAAATTCATCCCAAAACTGTGGAAACTTGACCATTTATATCCTGTGCTCAAAAAGCTGGTCACATCCAACCTAACCAATTATCACCCAATCAGTCTACTCTTGATAATCAACAAAATGATAGAAAGGGGAAAGTGACTGCCCTTGACATCAAGGCAGCATCTGACCAAGTATGGCACCAAGGAATCCTAGCATAACTGCAGCGAATGGGAATTGGGGGGGAAAACTGTCCACTGGTTGGTGTCATACCGATCACAATGCAAAACGGTTGTGATCATTGGAGGTCAGTCATTTCAGATCCAGAACATCTCTACTGGAGTCCCTCAGGACAGCGTCCTGGGAGCAACCATCTTCAGCTGCTTCCTGAATGACCTTCCTCCATCATGAGGTCAGAAGTGGGGATGTGCTCTGACTGCATAATGTCCAGAACCTTTTGCGACTCCTCAGATACTGAAGCAGTCCACGTTCAAATACAGCGACCTAAACCACAGCCAGCTGGTGTTGTCTAAGCTAACATTCACACCACAAGTCCAGGCAATGACCATCTCCAACAAGAGCGAATCTAGCCATTGCTCCTTGATGTTTAATAACATTACAATTAACTGAATCCTGTCATTGTCAACATCCTGTGGAATTGAGAACAGGTCAGTGGCTAGGAATTCTGGTGTGTAATTCACCACCTGACTGAGTGGCTGTCCAGCATCTACAAGGCAACAGCCAGGAGTGTTGTGATTGAATACTCCCGTTTGCCTGGATGAATGTAACTTCAACAATGCTTAAGAAGCTGACACAATCCAGGACAAATCAGCTTGTTTGATTGGCACAGCATCCACAAAATTCAACATTCAACTTCCTTCACCAACAATGCACAATGGCAGCTGTGTGTAGTGTCTACAAGGTGCACTGTAAGCAACTCATCAAGGTGACTCTGACAGCCCCTTTTCAATGCATGACCTTTACCACCAGGAAGGACAAGGGTAGCAGATGCAGAGGTGCACCACCACCACCACCTCCAGGGCAATTAGCAATGGGCAATAAATGCTGGCCCAGCCAATGATGGCCACGTTCCATGAGCAAATGAAAAGAAGTTAAACAGAGAATTGTGACTTAGAATGCACTTCTAAAAAAGTGCAAAAGTGGTAACTTGCAAAAGGGACTTGTTAAGTGTGGAGCATTGGGAAAAGATCATGAGGGTGAGACCAATTGGGTGTTGTCTGCCCCACCTGTGCCTGGTTTTCTTTTGTGGAGTTTCATTCTGTCATTCTTCAGACCGGCTGCAACAAATTGTATCTAATAGTCCCAACTGCAGCCGAAGTGAAGTAATTTTTAAGTTCATTGTTCTTGCATTGTGTTGTATCTAAAGGCATAGAATATAAGCGTGGATTTCTTATTTTTACTTCTGTTTGCTAACTTTTACAGACATGATATTTGAATGACAGTCACTTGGGTATAAATATTATCACTTCGTTCCGAGATTACTGTATTTGAGACACCTTATTTTAATCAGTTCCTTAGATCATGAAACATGCTTTTATGAATCCTGTTATGTTTCTACGTTGTGGGTTCTGACTTGAATCTTAACCTCTGGCTGATTCTCCCTCCCGGCACCTTATCCTGGTACCTTGGAAGCAACACAGAATCCTCGAATTAGCATCGACTGGGCCAATGAAGGAAAGAGGTTCCACATATTCTTTCTTAGGTGACTACTTTGAGATTGTTCATTTTCTATCCTTTCAGGTTGTAGAACTGATAGCTGGAGGTGCACAGATACCAGTAACCAATGACAACAAGATATTCTACCTGAACATGTTAGCACAGTACAGATTGGCCAGTCAGGTGCGGCAAGAAGTGGAGTATTTCCTTAAAGGTATGATACTGCTCCTAGTGAGCAGTGATGGAAGATTAATAGAAATGAAGCCAGAATATGTCCTTGTTGTGGAATCCTGTTTTTTTTAAGTAGGCAAAACATAATCATAATGTTTAACACAAGGACCTGAGATTGCCCTTTGCCCTTTGTTCATGACCCAATATTTCCTTTTCTTTGCTTATACATTTACATTTTTGTTCTTCTAGTCCCTATGAGCTTGCCAACAGTCTTCTCAGGAAAAAGCAACATGGTCTTGGCTTTTGCAGGTGTCTGCTGAGAGATGTAAGACAGTCATCTCTGATAAACCACCAAACAGACCTTTATTTTGAGGACGACATACTGTTGATGCTGGCCACCATACTAACAGTCCTTGTGTTCTAGGATAGTCCAACCCACTTGTTTATCAAATAAAAACTGAAAGAACTGCAGATGCTGTAAATCAGGAATAAAAACGGAAGTTGCTGGAAAAGCTCAGCAGGTCTGGCAGATCTTCACAGATGCTTCCAGACCTGCTCAGCTTTTCCAGCAACTTCTGTTTTTGCATTTGTTTATCAACTTCTGTGTGAAGTAGTTAAATCTAAATTGTATTCACCTTCTCTCTTCTGAGTTGACATCCATGCATTTTGAGCCACAGTAAACTGATAAAAGTAAAATGACTTGAGAAATGAGAGATTTCTTCCAAAGGGAGAATAAAACTAATTTTAAAAATTTTGTGAAGACACATATTACAGGAGAGTTCTGTAAATATTTGTGATCTAACTATTAGATCAGGCAGGTAGCAAATGTTTCTTTTAATACAGGAGCTGCTACCTCCTCCATCCTGGGCACATATTCAGAGAGTGGTGGGCGTGTGGAATGCGCTGCCGGCAGTGATAGTGGAATCAGATACTTTAGAGACTTTTAAGCGACTCTTGGATCGGCACATGGAAGATAGTAAAATGTAGGATATGCAGGGTAGATTGATCTTAGTAGGATAATAGGTCAGCACAACATCGTGGGCTGAAGGGCCTGTACTGTGCTGTACTGT